TGTTGCGGAACTATCGAACCATCTTCAATACTTTCTTGCCAAACTTTAAAACTACGTTCGATACTTTTTTGCCAAATGATCAAATACTTTATTGGGAAACTGTCAAATTGTCGTCGATATTTTGTTGTCAACTATAGAATACGTTGTTGCCAAACTATCGAATATTTTGTTGCCAAAATATCGAACTATCTTCGATACTTTGTTGCCAGACGATCAAATACTTTGTTGCGAAACTACAGAACTATCTTCGGTACTTTGTTGCCAAACTATAAAACTATGTTCGACACTTTTTTGCCAAACGATCGAATACTTTATTGGGAAACTATGAAATTATCTTCGATACTTTGTTGCCAAACTATCAAACTGTCTTTGATACTTAGTTGCCGAACGATCGAATACTTTGTTGTGAAACTATCAAACTATCATTGATACTTTGTTGCCAAAGTATAAAACTAAGTTCGATAATTTTTTGACAAAAGATCGAATACTTTATTGGGAAACTATCGGATTATCGTTGATACTTTGTCACCAAACTATCGAACTATATTCCATATGTTGTTGCCAAAATATCGAATATTTTGTTGCCAAACTGCCAAACCATCTTCGATACTTTGTTGCCAAACTATAAAACTACGTCCGATACTTTGTTGCCAAACGATCGAATATTTTGTTGCCGAACTATCGAATTATCATCGACACTTTGTGGCCAAAGTATAGAATACTTTGTCACCAAACAATCAAACTGTCATTGATACTTTGTTGCCAAACGATCGAACTATCGTCGATACTTTGTTGCCAAACTTTAAAACTACGTTTGATACTTTTTTGCCAAACGATCAGATACTTTATTGGGAAACTATCAAATTATCGTCGATACTTTGTTGCCAAACGATCGAACCATCTTTGATACTTTGTTGCCAAACGATCGAATATTTTGTTGCGAAACTATCGGACTATCATAAATACTTTGTTGCCAAACTGTAAAACTACGTCCGATACTTTTTTGCCAAACGATCGAATACTTTATTGGGAAACTATCGAATTATCGTCGACCCTTTATTGGGAAACTATCGAATTATTGTCGATACTTTGTTGCCACACGATCGAATACTTTGTTGCGAAACTATCGAACTACTTTCGATACTTTGTTGCCAAACTATAAAACTACACTCGATACTTTTTTGCCAAACGATCGAATATTTTATTGGGAAACTATCAAATTATCGTCGATACTTTGTTGCCAAACTACCGAACTATCTTCGATACTTTGTTGCCAAACGATCGAACCATCTTCAATACTTTGTTTCCAAACGATCGAATATTTTGTTGCGGAACTATCGAACCATCTTCAATACTTTCTTGCCAAACTTTAAAACTACGTTCGATACTTTTTTGCCAAATGATCAAATACTTTATTGGGAAACTGTCAAATTGTCGTCGATATTTTGTTGTCAACTATAGAATACTTTGTTGCCAAACTATCGAATATTTTGTTGCCAAAATATCGAACTATCTTCGATACTTTGTCGCCAGACGATCAAATACTTTGTTGCGAAACTATCGAACTATCATTAATACTTTGTTGCCAAACTATAAAACTATGTTCGGCACTTTTTTGCCAAACGATCGAATACTTTATTGGGAAACTATGAAATTATCTTCGATACTTTGTTGCCAAACTATCAAACTGTCTTTGATACTTTGTTGCCGAACGATCGAATACTTTGTTGCGAAACTATCAAACTATCATTGATACTTTGTTGCCAAAGTATAAAACTAAGTTCGATAATTTTTTGACAAAAGATCGAATACTTTATTGGGAAACTATCGGATTATCGTTGATACTTTGTCACCAAACTATCGAACTATATTCCATATGTTGTTGCCAAAATATCGAATATTTTGTTGCCAAACTACCAAACCATCTTCGATACTTTGTTGCCAAACTATAAAACTACGTCCGATACTTTGTTGCCAAACGATCGAATATTTTGTTGCCAAACTATCAAATTATCATCGACACTTTGTGGCCAAAGTATAGAATACTTTGTCACCAAACAATCAAACTGTCATTGATACTTTGTTGCCAAACGATCAAACTATCGTCGATACTTTGTTGCCAAACTATAAAACTACGTTTGATACTTTTTTGCCAAACGATCAAATACTTTATTGGGAAACTATCAAATTATCGTCGATACTTTGTCACCAAACTATCGAACCATCTTCAATATTTTGTTGCCAAACGATCGAATATTTTGTTGCGAAACTATCGGACTATCATAAATACTTTGTTGCCAAACTGTAAAACTACGTCCGATACTTTTTTGCCAAACGATCGAATACTTTATTGGGAAACTATCGAATTATCGTCGACCCTTTGTCACCAAACTATCGAATCATCTTCGATACTTTGTTGCCAAACTATCGAACTGTCTTCCATATGTTGTTGCCAAAATATCGAATATTTTGTTGCCAAACGATCGAACTATCTTCGATACTTTGTCGCCAAACTATAAAACTGTGTTCGATACTTTTTTGCCAAACGATCTAATACTTTATGGGGAAAGTATCAAATTATTGTCGATACTTTGTTGCCAGACTACCGAACTGTTTTCGATACTTTGTTGCCAAACTATAAAACTACGTCCGATACTTTGTTGCCAAACGATCGAATACTTTATTGGGGAAGTATCGAATTATCGTCGACACTTTGTCGCCAAACTATCGAACCATCTTCGATATTTTGTTGCCAAACGATCGAACTATCGTCGATACTTTGTCGCCAAACTATCGAATATTTTGTTGCCAAGCTATCAAACTATCTTCGATAGTTTGTTGCCAAACGATCGTATACTTTATTGCAAAGCTATCAAACTATCATTGGTACTTTGTTGCCAAACTATAAAACTATGTCCGATACTTTTTTGCCAAACGATCCAATACTTTATTGGGAAACTATCGAATTATCGTCGACACTTTGTTGCCAAACAATCGAACCATTTTTGATACTTTGTTGCCAAACGATCGAACTATCTTCGATACTTTGTTGCCAGACTATCAAACTATGTTCGATACTTTTTTGCCAAACGATCAAACACTTTATTGGGAAACTACCGAATTATCGTCGACACTTTGTTGCCAAACTGTTGAATATTTTGTTGACGAACGATCGAACTATCTTCGATACTTCATTGCCAAACTACCGAACTATGTTCGATACTTTATTGCCGAACGATCTCAATCCATGTTCGATACTTTGTTGCCAAACCATAAAACTACGTCCGATACTTTTTTGCCAAACGATCGAATACTTTATTGGGAAACTATCGAATTATCGTCGACACTTTGTTGCCAAACTATAGAATACTTTGTTGCCAAATTATCGAACCATCTTCGATACTTTGTTTCCAAACGATCGAATAGTTTGTTGCGAAACTGTCGAACTATCTTCGATACTTTGTTGCCAAACGATCGAACTATCTTCGATACTTTGTTGCCAAACTATTGAACTATCTTTGAAACTTTGTTGCCAAACGATCGAATATTTTGTTGCCAAACTATTGAACTATCTTCGATACTTTGTTGCCAAACGATTGAATACTTTGTTGCCAAACTATCGAACTATCTTCAATACTTTGTTGCCAAACGATCGAACCATCTTCGATACTTTGTTTCCAAACGATCGAATATTTTGTTGCAAAATGTTGAACTATCTTTGATACTTTGTTGCCAAACGATCGAACCATCTTCGATACTTTGTTTCCAAACGATCGAATATTTTGTTGCCAAACGATCAAACCATCTTCGATACTTTGTTGCCAAACGATCGAATATTTTGTTGCGAAACTGTCGAACCATCTTCGATACTTTGTTTCCAAACGATCGAATATTTTGTTGCCAAACGATCAAACCATCTTCGATACTTTGTTGCCAAACGATCGAACCATCTTCGATACTTTGTAACCCGATGAGACCCCTCGTTGGGCGGGGGAGGGGGTGGGTCTGCAATCCGGAATCTTCTGCCTCAAACGCCCCCCCATACCTGACCGGGGGGGTGGGTTCTTGGTCCCGGGCCTCCCGGCATGGCCTCCTCGCGAAGTCCCCCACGATTTGGGGGAAACGGGATTCCACGCGGCCGAGAACTGAGGCCGCCGCCTCCTCCTCCAGGGAGTCCACCCTGATTGCCCTTTTTTTTTTCTCTCTCTCTGTCTCTCTCTGTCCCCTTGTTGCTTACCTGCCCGGCCGGGCCAGGTGTGGATCGACGCGGGGACCCAGATCTTCTTCTCCTACGCGATTTGCCTGGGGGCCATGACCTCGCTGGGGAGCTATAACAAGTACAAGTACAACTCGTACAGGCAAGTGTCGGGGGGTACGTCCTGGGTTGTCCCCGGCAACGGGTCCGAGGGTAGCCGTGGCGACGACGTTTGAAGGGAAAGAGAGTAGGCTCGCGTGCACCTGTCGTCCCAGCTGCTCGGGAGGAGGCCGAGGAGGGAGGCTCGTGCTGGAGGCCGGGAGGTGGAGGCCAGCCCGAGCAAGAGCGAGACCCCGTCTCTGCTAAAAAAATAATAGAAAGAAATGAGCCGGACGACTAAAAATATGTAGAGAAAAACGAGCCGGGTGTCGTGGTGTCACACGCCTGCAGTCCCAGCTACTCGGGAGAGGGAGGCCGAGGCGGGAGGCTCGCTGGAGGCCAGGAGTCGGAGGCCGCTGTGGGCGAGGCTGAGGCCACGGCGCTCACTCCGGCCCGGGCGACAGAGCGAGACTCGGCCTCAAAGGAGAGGGAGGCCGAGGAGGGCGAGGCCGGCTGGCCGAGGAGGGCGAGGCCGGCTGGCCTCGGCTGACCCGCCCCGGCCTCGCAGGGACTGCCTCCTGCTCGGGTGCCTCAACAGCGGGACGAGCTTCGTGTCCGGCTTCGCCATCTTCTCCATCCTGGGCTTCATGGCGCAGGAGCAGGGCGTGGACATCGCGGAGGTGGCCGAGTCAGGTGCGTGCCGCCCCTCCCCCGTCCTCACCCAGGTCCTCTCCACGTCACTCTCACATCATCACCATCCTCCCCTCCCCTATCACCATCCCTCCCTCCCATCCTCCTCCTCCCCCATCATCATTCCTCCCTCCCATCACCATCCCTCCTCCCATCCTCCCTCCCTCCCCATCCTCCTTCCCCTATCCCCTCCATCACATCCCTCTCCCATCACCATCCTAACCTCCCATCACCATCCTCTCCACCCGAGCACCATCCTCCTCCCCATCACCATCCCTCCTCCCCATCACCATCCCTCCCCCTCCCCATCACCATCCCAACCCTCCCCCCATCACTCATCCCTCCCCCTCCCCAGCACCATCACTCCTCCAGCACAATCCTCCCACCATCCACCATCCTCCCCTCCATCACATCCTCCTCCCCATCAATCCCTCCTCCCCCATCACCATCCCTAAACCTCCCCATCACCATCCTAACCCTCCTCCCTCCACTTCCTCTTCCACTCCTCTCTACCTCCTCCCTCCCATCTCCGGTCCCCATCACATCCCTCATCACATCCCTCCCTCCATCCATCTCTCCCCCATCACATCTCCTCATCCCATCTCTCATCACATCCCTCCCCCTCCCATCACACCCTCCCCTCCCATCACATCTCCTCATACCATCCCTCCCTCCCCCATCACCATCCCTAACCCTCCCCCATCACATCCTAACCTCCCTCCCCTCTCTCTCCTCCCTTCACTCCTCCTCTACCTTCCCCTCCCATCCCTCCTCCATCTCTCCCCATCACATCCCTCCACACACTCTCTCCATCACATCTTCCCCTCCCACCACATCCTCCCTCCCCCATCACATCCCTCCCCTCCCCCATACATTCCATCCCTCCCATCACATCCCTCTCCATCCACATCCCTCTCCCCATCAATCTCCCCTCCCCATCACATTCCCCCATCCATCATCTCCCTCGCCCAATCACATCCTCCCCTCTCTCCTCCTCCTCCTCCCCTGGTCTTCCCTTCATCCTCCACCTGCCCCCGCCCCGCCCCCACAGGGGGGAGGGGGACTCTGTATGGGGGAGGGGAACGGCTCTAATTTCTCAGTCCCCCCGTCGTCGGCCCCCGGCCATGAATATCCAAGAGTCGCAGGCGCTACCCACCATTTTTTTTTCAAAAAAAAAATTTTATTTTTTATTTTATAAGTTGCGACGCATCAGTAAGAGTCTCTGCAGAAACCGCCTGTGTTGGGGGCGTAGGGGAGAGGCGGGGAAGGAGGCCCTGGTGTCTCCAAACGCGCCTCCCACCCCAGCACGGCCTCAATATCAGAGAGGCCCAGCGCTCGGGGAGGCCGAGGCGGGAGGCCGGGAGGTGGAGGCCAGCCTGAGCAAGAGCGAGACCCCGTCTCTACTAAAATAAAAATAGAAAGAAATTAGCCAAACAACTAAGAATATATAGAAAAAAATGAGCCGGGCGTGGAGGCGCGCGCCTGTATAGTCCCAGCTACTCGGGAGGGAGGCCGAGGCGGGAGGCTCGCTCGAGGCCAGGAGTTGGAGGCCAGCCTGAGCAAGAGCGAGACCCCCTGTCTCTAACAAAAAAAATAAAAATAGAAAGAAATGAGCCGAACAACTAAAAATATATAGAAAAAATGAGCCGGGCGTGGAGGCGCATGCCTGTATAGTCCCAGCTACTCGGGAGGGAGGCCGAGGCGGGAGGATCGGTTGAGGCCAGGAGTTGGAGGCCAGCCTCTGAGCAAGAGCGAGACCCCGTCTCTACCAACAAACAAAAAATAGAAATTAATTGACCAACTAAAAAAATACAGAAAAAGAAAACGAGCCGGGCGCGGCGGCTCACGCCTGTCGTCCCAGCTACCTTTTGAGATGATGGAGGCCGAGGCGGGAGGCTCGTCGCTGGAGCCTCGAATTGGGAGGCCGCCGTGAGCTAGAGGCCGACTGGCCCCAGCCCGGGCGACAGAGCCAGACTCTGTCTTCCAAAAACGATAAAAATAAAAAAATTAGAAGAAGAGATTACGCCTCCTCTGGGGAGGGGCAGGTGTTTGCAAACAAGCCTCCGATCCGGCCTCCACTCTTAAGTGGTTTCCCTTCCCGCCGGCTCCTGCCGTTGATTCCCGGGCGTCCGGATCCTCGGAGATGATTCCTCTAATGAGCTTTTATTTTTATTTTATTTTATTTTTTTAACAAGCTCCCAGGGGACCTCATCTTTCCGAGCCCAGAGATAATTAACCTCGGCCTCCACCGGCCTCCGTTTCATGTCTCTCGGCCACACACGCGTGTTTGCGTGTGTCTTCCTCTCTCTCTGTCCCTCCAGTTCTCCGGGATTTTGCCGTTATTTTAATTTTTTATTTTATATTCTGGGGACAAGAATCTCGCTCTGAGGCCCGGGCTGGAGCCTCCGAATTGGAGGCTCGAGCAGTGAGCCTCCCGCCTCGGCCTCCCTCTCCCCCGAGTAGCTGGGACGCAGGCGTGAGCCACCATGCCCGTCGTTTTTTCTATATATATATATATTTTTTTTAGTTGGCCGTTAATTTCTTTCTATTTTTTTAGTAAGACGGGTCTCGCTCTTGCTCAGGCTGGCCTCGACCTCCTGGACTCCAGCGATCCTCCTGCCTCGGCTCCTAAGTAGCTGGGATGATAGCTACTAAATATTTTTAATTATTTTAAATATTTTAAAGTATTTTAATATTTAAGAATACACAATGTTTTTAAATATTAAAAAATTTTAAAATAATTTCTTAAAACATTTTTTTAGCTGTCCAACCTCCCGCTCGGCCTCCTAAGTACTGGTACGACAGCTAGTAAATATTTAAAACATTTAAATATTTTAAAGCATTTTAATATTTTAAAAGTATTAAATAGTTTTTAAATATTTTAAGAGTTTAAAAAATATTTTAAAAAATATTTCTAAAATATTCTTTTAGCTGCCCAACTAATTTCTTTGTATTTTTTTTTTAGTAGAGACGGGGTCTCGCTCTTGCTCAGGCTGGCCTCGACCTCCTGAGCTCGAGCGAGCCTCCCGCCTCGGCCTCCTAAGTAGCTGGGACGACAGCTAGTAAATATTTTAAAATATTTAAAAAATTTTAATATTTAAAATTAATATTTAAAATTTATTAATGTTTAAAATTTAAATAATATTTAAATTTAATTAATGTTTAAAGATGTTAAAATATTTTAAATATTTTAAAACAATATTTTAAAAATATTTAAGTACTTTAAAAATTTTTTTAGCTGCCCAACTAATTTCTTTGTATTTTTTTTTTTTTTTTAGCAGAGACGGGGTCTCGCTCTTGCTCAGGCTGGCCTTGAACTCCTGACCTCGAGCGAGCCTCCCGCCTCACCTCCCCATCCAGAA